TATTTGTCTGAAAATGCTTTCTAGTCCCCTTTTCCTCGCCTCGCCTTCGATAATGCTCATTATACTTATGTTTCCTCTCCTGATGGTATCAGCTAGTTCTTGTATTTCTCTTTCATTATTTTTCATTCTTCGGTTTCTTTCTTCTTCATTCTGATTTATTTCTAGATTTATGTCCTCAATATCACTGATTCTTTCCTCCATTTGGTTGACTCTATTTCCCAAGCTTGCTATTTCATTTTTCAGCTCTTGCAGTGTGTTTTTTTTATCTCTTTTTTTTATCTCCAGAAGATCTATTTGGTTCTTTTTGAGGGTTTCGATCTCCTCGCTCTGCTCATCTAGTTGTTTTTGCAATTTCTGAAATTGTTGATATGACTCGTTTCGGATCTCACTGTTTTCAGAAGTACCATCCTGAATTCTCTGTCATTTAAGTCACATATTTCTATGCCTGTCAGCTTCTTTTCTAGAGATTTTTTGCTTTCTTTCTGAGATGCCTTGTCACCTTGGTTGTTCATGGTGTTTAATGGACTATTTCTCTGCCTGGGCATTAATGGAATTGTATTCTCTTGTTTTTCCAGAAATAAGATTTATTATATAAAGGTCTCTCTTTAGCCTGTTGTAAAGAAGGCGTTTTTCTTTTGGTTTCCAGTAGGTCTCATCTAAGCCTCTTGGATTCCTGGTTTATTTAGAGCTTTAATGATGCCATTTTTTTTTCCTATGGGTGTTTTATCATGCTCACTACTCTCAGTCTCAGGCCCAGTCAGTGTTATCGACAGTTTCTGTAGCATTTCCTCAGATTTCCCTAGGACTTCACCGTGAACGGTCTCTGAGGATAAAGGGGAAGGGGCCTTTTGTGTTTGGGGTTGGGGGTTGGGGGCTGCAGCTCAGCCTCAGTTTTGCAACTGCGGCCGGTAAAAATCAACTCTTGTTTCTCTGTTGTACTGCTTCTCTGCTCTGTGCCCTGATGATTAGGCCCTACCACTGGCTGCATGGAGCTCACAGTACTCCCAGGCAGGAATCTTCAGGGAACTTGCTTTACCTTCTCCCCTCCCCCTCCTCCTTCAAGGAGCTCCAGCAGCTGTGGAGGCAGCTTCTTTGTTTCTCCCAGTCCACTGCCAGACACCCGGGGTTCTGACCTGTGGTAGCTCTTATGCGCAGATCCCATGCTCAGATGTGTTGGTGTGCAGAATCAGTATTTTTTGTTGAGTTTTAGATTTCAGCTTTTTGTTGTTTCAAGGGGAGAGATCTGGGGATGTCTCTCACTCTGACATGTTTCTCCAAACTCCTAGTCTTTTCTTAAACAAGGTCTGAGATGTGCAGTCCTTCCAGTTGTAATCGTTAGTTATCATATGGGAGCTGTGTGGGTGAGGTGGTAAAGCATGGGGGAAGAAGTCTTGATCTCTATTGGGAGGATTAGGTCTGAATTTAAAGTGAGCCTGTACCCTGGGCTATGATTTCCTAAGTGCTTCTCCTTTCTTCACCCCTCAGGTCAAAGAAGTGGAGAGGGCCTACCCTGGGCATTCCCCTCCTCCAGATTGTTCAGGCTCTAGTAAAACCCTAGTCTCTTGTGTTCTGGTGAATCTTTCTCTTTGGACAGGCTGTGTTATGAAGAACAGATTGTGTTTGGCATCTTTCACAGTGGAGACTTTCTCTTTCCCCTGCTGGAACCACAGGGGCGTTTCTGTCGGATCTTCATTCTTCTCTGTGAGAACCTGGTAGGGCTCCCCAAGATAAAACTCACCAGAAGGTTAGGAGTCCCTGTCAGACTAGACCTACCTGGAGTTTTTAACTCTTAAGCTAGTCTACACTGAGCATCCAGCAAGTTGTCAAACATACTTTGTGTCGCCCGATCATGGTACTGGCTCCCACACTGGTTTCTGCTCTTGGCCCTCTGCTCCAGGGAGCTGTGATTCTCTGAATCCACCAGTCTGACTTCTGTCTCTTCACCGTGGTGGAAAGCAGTTAGCCTAGTGACCTCATTTCTCTGACGGATCAAAAAAGAGTTGTTCCTTTTCAGTAGGTTCAGCTCATTTTCATTGAGAAGGTGGGCGTACAGGTCAAGCTGCTTTCATGCTGGCCTGTCAACTGGAAGTGACCAAGAAAAGTCTATTTTCAAGCTTCCATCATTTATTCGGCAGAATTCATGTCCTTTTGTCTGTAGGATTTAGAGTTGTTTTTCTGTTTTTCTGACTATAGCTTATGGTCTAACACCCTTATCTAAACACAGCCTGCATTTTCATGAGACATTGTCCTGTCTATAAGCCATTCCAAACATGGCAGGATTCGCCTTCAAGGCAGGCAGGATTCGCCTTCAAGGCAGGCAGGATAGCTACAGCATCTGTGCTAGCAAAATAGTATCTTATATAATGTCTGTTATCAGAGGAATGTTACCTTACCTTTAATGTGTATTGATGTTTAACTGCGTGAGGAATCAGTGCCTCCATGCTGGCACTGATCAAGAAACAACTGTATGTAATTTCTACTTTTAAAATATAACTGAAAAGTTTTTCCTGAGGGTGTCCTTTAAGTTCTTTATGTGGGGCTAGCCTAATACTTAGATGTAGGATTTTCCTGTGATTATAAAAGGGGTAAGACAGAGAATGTGTGTTTATCTTTGGTCATCTGATGGTTAAATTTATGTGTCCCTTTGGGCTGTGGGACGCCAAGTTCATACACTATTCCAGGTGTTTCTGGGAGGGTGTTTTCGATGATATTAACATCTAAATTGGTACACTGGGGGAAGCAGACCAACCCCCTCAGTGTGGGTGCACCCCTACAATTGGGGAGGTCTGAATAGAACAAGTCCAACTCTCCCCTGAGTGAGGAAGAATTCCTCCTACCTGGTTGCCTCAGATGGGACACTGGATTTTCTCTGTCTTCAGACTCTGACGAAGACATCAGCTCGTCCCAGGCCTTGAGCCTTCAGTGTGGAACTGCACCATCGGCTCTCCTGGGTCTCCTGCTTGTCCACTGACCCTGCAGATCGTGGGACTTGTCAGCCTCCATTAATCACGTGAGCCAATGACTTATAAAATATAAACATAAATATAATTCCATCCTCTTGGTTCACTTTATCAGGAGAACCCTGACAAATGCGTTTCTAAATCCTATTTTGAATAGTGTGGGGTTCATTCAAACGTATCCCCTCCACATCCACAGAAGACAAAGAGGACCGCTGGGTCAGCAGCTTCAAGGAGGACAGTGGACAGAGTTCGCCAGGCTGTGCTTGTCCCCAAGGACACTTCCCGCTGCTCCCGTGAACGCTATCTGCACCTTTGGCTGTTCCATGGACATTATCTGCCTGTTCTGCCTGAGGACATGGCCAGCCAAACCTCCCCTGCACTAGCTAGCAGCACGGCCTGTTCTCATCCGCGGGGATGAGCCTTGTCCCCCAGGATGAGGCGATCCCTCTCCCCTCTGCTCCCATATGGACCAAGGCCTAGTCTTGGCTGGACGCCTGCTGGACGCCATTTCCTACAGCTCGAACTCACCCAGTGCTGAGGCCTCCCTGTTTTGTGAATAATAAATGGGGTGTCTCAATCCACTGCTCCCTCTAGTGGATTTTTGGAACATGCAAGGCCCAGGTGCAGGTTCCTGCCCTGGTGCTTCTACGTTACAAATAGTAATTTATAATCATGACGGGAACTCATGCGTTTCATCAGTTTTGTAAAAATGGAAAGCATAAATAATATAATTAAATAATTTTGTTCTTTCCACAAGCAGAGAGGGACCTATTTATATTTTGCTCTGCAGGTTTATACTTTACTTCCTGTATGTAAATGTCTCTGTCTCTCATACATATACATATATATAAGTATATATATTTATATATATGCACATCTGTGTGTATATATATTGACATACATAGTTATACATACGCAAAAATACATACACATACACATGTATATGGGTGTTGAGTGTCACACAGTCTATCAGTGTTTTTGTTCTACTGTTGTCTATTACATTGGCAGCAGGGGAGATCCATACGAGAATGGCCAGGGAAGAACTGGCTAGCAGGTCCAGCGTTGGCTAGCCGATTATACTAGGAATGACCCAGTGGAAGGACGCTGCATTTCAGGACAGCGCTGGAAATGAACAACAGCCAGCACCTGAGTAGAGTCAGCTGTCAAGGACCCTTGGGGCAAGGGACAGTAAACGAAGCTCATAGACATTCCCCAAACTGTGCACTGTCCTCATGTGCACCTCACCTTTCTTCTGTGAGCCTGCTTTTAACGTTCGGCACGAACCAGCTAGTCTATGCGCTCTGTTCACCACACTGGGACAGGAATTCGGGACCCCTTCAGTTACTGCCCCGGGAATCCCACCCACAATCCCAAAGTGGCTGTTAAGAGCAGTTTTTGTTCCAGTATTCAGTCTCTAAACTTTCAGACACCCGGTCTCAGTGTGCGCTTTCCTCCTGAGTCTTTGAGTATCTCCCAGCCCACCATTCTGCCTTACTTGAAATGACTTCCCTCTGGAGGACTTGCCCTGTCTGGCCCCAAACCGCCTTGCCTCGGGCAACCTTCACTTGACTGCTCTCATGGGGAACCTCTTCTCTTCTTCGCCCTTTCCTATCAGTTGAGCTTTCTGAATTACAGGGAATCTGTCTGTCTTCCTTTCATGGTAGCTGGTTCCAGCCTCATGATTCTATGGGAAGCGGCTCTGCCTTCTTTTTCTTACCAGGCCCCATACCACCATGGCCCTTCCCAAGAGCAGATGCTCACGTAAGTTTGGGGAATAGAAGAGAAATTGAGTCAGAGGACTAACTTGTTAAGAGTTACTCTCTCTGACATTCTTCAATAAGCTAAGTATATTGAGGTATAAATCAATTTACAAAAGAAAAGACTGAGAACAATAAGCCAAATCAAGGTTGATGACGTTTTATTTATTTATTTATTTTATATTCCATTTTCCCAAACTTTAACTGTGGAATTCTTCAACACTTCCACGAAAAACTCTGCTGTGATTCGATCTTTTTTGTCTTGAAGACAAAAAAAAGATCCTCAGTGTGCACTACGGGTGGAAGAAGACGGGGCCATGGAATCAGGCCTTGCTGTGGCACTAGTGCCAGCCCTCCCTGCACCTCTGGTGTCTGCCCTTTCTTCTTGTAAGGCCTCTTCATACTGTGGGAAGGCACTAGGCACCGTGGCTCCGGCTTTGGCCAAAAAGTGGAGGACTTTCATCTTGCTGGTCTCAGCGTGAGCTCTAGGGCCCCACAGGTACTCATGGCGAGGTGGATCACTGCCAGGCACCTGGCGGTACTCTAGGTACTTCAGATGCACCAGATCTTTACTGATGAGTTTTCTCGGCTCTCCATAGATGATGTGTTTCTTCCCAGGATATATTTGGAACAATTTCAGAAATACCCAGAGGTCTTCCTCAGTGGCGCAGTTGCCCTTCATAAAGATGAAGCCCAGGATATTCATCAGAAGGCCGGTCTTGGGCCAGCCCCTGCCTGCACGCAGCCTCCCATTATTGGGGATGTTCAGTTTGCTGACAAACTCATACATGTTTGAGTCGACTTCCTTCAGATCAATCGCGAAGACAACTTCAATGCGCTCGGCGGCCTTCTTGAGGATCTCAGCGTATTCGTCCTGGTGTTCCTCTCCCAGGATCTTCTCGATTTCTTTCTTCAAAATGGGTTGGTTCACTTTGAACTTGTGCAGGAGGAACTGCTCCACCGAATCCACCTTCACAGTGGGAGACCTACGGCCTGACCTGTGAGCAGATGAAGCAGGGAAATAAGAAACTGCTTCATCTTGGCTTTCCTCGCCATCATCAGAGCTTGTCTTATCTGCGCCTGGAGAGGTGGTGGTGCTGGCGGTGGCTGAGGCCCCTCCCGACGCCTGGAAACTGCTATCTGACTCGGTCGGTGACGTACTCTGGGAAGGAGCTTCCAGGGCAGAGGAGCTGGAGGGAAGCTCTTCCTCCATGGCTGCAGCTTCATCAGACCTCTGAGCATGGGCCTTATTGCGAGCCTGGCGGCGTTGCTCACGAGCACGGAGCTTACTCTTCTGACCCCGAGGCATGATGTCAGGGACAGCAGGCAATGCCGCAGGCAGAAGAGTAGAGGAAGCGGGCACCTGGAGGAGGGAGAATGAGATGGTGTGTGTCCCCTCGGCGGGAAGGTTCCACCTCGGCTTTGCCCAAGGCCGCCTCTGCAGCGTCTGAAGGCAGTGCTCTAGGAACTCTCAGGACCCTGCTCTCATCAGCCATTCCCCTGAGAGCCCTGCAGAAAATGTCAGTGTGTCCCTGGGACACAGCCATTCAGCCCTCCCTAGGTGTTACTGGGTGACAGCAGGGGCTAGCAAGGGGGACCCTGTGTCCTGGGTTTGGGAAGTGTTCTCAGTTCACTGTCAGGATCTTTATGTTAATTATTGTCCCGACCAGGTTCCCCAGTCCCCGTTGCTGTCCTGAAGCTGACACTTCAAACATCCCTGCCGTCATAAGGAAGATAATGGTGCTTCTGGCGGAGAGCACTCAGATCCAGCGCATCCCTGGGCCCTGTCTGTCCTGGCCGGTTGGAGGTATGTTCTTTCTGAATGCAACATGGCATATAGGTAGGTCCTGAGGGCCCCCCTTTCAGCTGACTGTTGGCTTTACCTTCCCCACCCATTCAGGGTGAGCGGGAGGCCCCTCGGTCTGCACTCAGTTTCCTTTTGGCACTGCAAGGGCCAGGGTCCCCTGTCTCCCTTTGCTTGAGGCCTGTCTCATAGTGAGGTCAGCACCTATCCCGGAACCATCAGGAGCAGAGAGTGTGGCCTCATTTGCCTGCACTTGCCTGGCTTCTCCCAAATGCAAGATGCACCGGGAAAGCTGAGGTCCCCCCATCAATGCTCCCGACGGGTCTCACTGAAACCCCGTCTGAACCTCTGGATATATCTAAGACTCTTCCCTCTACTGAACTGTGACCACACCGCTCAGGCAAAAGGCTCACGTCTCTGTGACCTTAGGAGGAATTCAGGGGCGATTCTGTTTGACAGAAGCCTGGGCCTCCTTGAGTGACAGTGGCATGCATTCCAAGGTGTCCTCTCTATTATGGGACTCGTGGTACGCGCAGTGACCGTGCCCCTCACCCTGACTCTTCCCATGACCTGGAAATCCTCCGTCTTCTGTCCCGCTTCCAGCCCTTTAACCAGGGCCCCACCTGGCCGACTGTCCTGAGGACCAAGTGAGGAAGCACCTCCTTCTCCATCCCTCCCGGACCCTCCCGGGCTGAAGTCAGGAGTGGGGTCTGAGGTCCTGCATTCCGCACGAGGGTTCTCCCTCACTCTGTGGGGCCTGGACATTCTCCCTCTGCTCCGCTCAGCCGAAGTCCACCCGCCTCCGGCCGAAGCCGTTATTCCCCGACCACGCTACGCGGCAGCCACTGGACTTGGGGCCTAAGAGCCATGATGGGGCCTCCCGGGCAGAGAGCAGGGGCGGGGTGGTGTGGGGCGTGACCACCTGTCTTCAGGGAAAAGGGGGATTGGGGTGGTCCGGCCTGGCCCACGCTTCTGGATCAGGGCACTTCACACCTCGACAGAGACAGGCCGCGGGGCTTCTGCTCACCCAAGGCGGCAGCTCACACGAGGCCTCACGCTCCGCAGCTTGGCTCACAGGAGGTGCGAGGGGGCCACTTCCGGTCACGTGAGCCCAGGCCTTCCGGGCAGGGGGCTGTGCGTGTGACTGACGTGCTGGGGACGCGTTTTGGGCGTGTCCAGGAGGACCTTCACCCGCGGGCCTTTCACTGACCCTCAGCAGGGCCTGGGCCTTCTCTCTCTCTCTCTGCGAAGCCAGTCAGCTGGACTCACACCAAGGCCCTGGATTCCCTGTAAACCCCAGGTCGAAATGTGTGGAGGACTGAGGCTAGCGGCCATGCCCAGTGCCTCCCAAGACTGACAGTAATGGGTGCTCCCCTCAGTCCTCCTTCCGCACCATCCCTGGACTCCTTGTGGATGCTGGGCTGCTTCCACTCTACGACCTGGGGCACCCCTCACATCCAACACCTCCACTTTCGGAGACTCCTGATAACACCGTGTGCAGGTGCACGACCTCTGGCCACTGCTGCCTGAGGCTAGAGATGATGCAGGGTCGCAGAATCCTGTGGGCTTCAGTGTTCTGGGCTCAGGAGTGTGCGCTGTGCTCTAGGTGGTCTGGAATTTTTCCCTTTTCTAACTAAAATCTTGCCTTTTCTGACCAAGTATCTCAAGATCCGCATGGCGAAAGTGGGGTGCTCCTAGGCTTGCCAGCTCAGCCTGGGGCCTGTGGTGGCTGACATGTGTGTCATTGTTGAAAGCTTTTGGAATGGATTTCTGTCCTTAGTTGCCATTACTATGCTGCATACTATTCTATTTCATTAGTCGTATTTATATTTTTGACAAATAAAAGTTCTATATGAGGTACAATGTGAGGTTTTGAAATATACATACACTGTGTCATCATTACTACACTTGAATTACATAACATCATCTTTTATTAGTCAAAATTATAAATACGACTTTTTTGAGCATGTGTGGTGAGAAATCCTGCCTTTTCAACAATGTGAATGAACCTAGGTGGATATTATGATAAGTGAACTAGGGCAGATTCAGAAATTCAAATACCACATGATCTCTTTTACGTAGAATCTATTACAAAGCAAACTTGTAGTAGCAGAGAGTAGCATGGTAGTTCCTTGAGATTTAGGAGCCAGAGAAGAGGGCAATTGAAAAAAGGAGACAAACTTTCAGTTGCAATATGAATTAAGTTCTGAAACCTACTGCACAGCATGGTGACCGTAGTTAATAATAATGTATTAATATACTTGAAATTTGCCAAGACAGTAGATATCAGGTGTTCTGGCTGTTCTATTTTCATTCATGCTTACATTTTATCAAGAGGACTACAAGTAAAAAAGAACCCAGTCCTGACTCACAAAATAAGTTTCAGGTGGTTATGAGGACGGTCTCTGGACTCATATATACTACCTCAACCAGCCCAAACTTTGCTGCTGTCCTGTTATTCCTCCATGGTCCTGGCCGGTGAGCCCTGAGGTGCTGCGTCTGGTTTCCTCAGCCAAACAGTAGGGATTCATTGTCCCAGCGCAGCCTGGAAGAAACAAGGGCTGAACTTCAAAACCTTTCCTCCAGG